AGTAAATTAACTGATAAGGCAATACAGAGTTAATGAAGTAAAGTACTTGATAAGGCAATACAAAATTAATGAAGTAATTTAAGTGATAAGGCAATACAGTGTTAATGAAGTAAATTAACTGATAAGGCAATACAGAGTTAATGAAGTAAAGTACTTGATAAGGCAATACAAAATTAATGAAGTAATTTAAGTGATAAGGCAATACAGTGTTAATGAAGTAAATTAACTGATAAGGCAATACAGAGTTAATGAAGTAAAGTACTTGATAAGGCAATACAAAATTAATGAAGTAATTTAAGTGATAAGGCAATACAGTGTTAATGAAGTAAATTACCTTTGATTTCTTCAAAAAATGTTGACCCTGCTTCATAAAGAATGAGAACAAATCAAAATAAAAAATTTTCTTCATCGTACGAAACAAGTATTTAACAGAAATCTTGTACTTTAAAAGTCTGAGCTCAATGATTACATATAGTTTTGTAAATAAACAAAACTAGAAATATCGTACTATGTATTCAGGCTGCGTTGTATATACAGTAGTACAAAAACTGAATTAATTTTACAGAACATAAAAGTCAACATTTCCATAGAGAGAGAAACTGCATAACATATAGACTTAATTCACATTATAGTTATAATGCTAGTATATTACAGGCAGTGATCGTTATCATAACTATATCATTTAATTGATATCCTTCACAAGATATTCAAGTTACGAATCTAAATAGACTGTTTGTATTATTTAATTATTAGTACAAGACAAAATATATGTGAAATTTACTTACCCCAATACAATTCTTCAAGGATGAGGTTAAGAGCGAGAAGAAAAAAAGGTTTAGAAATATTCACACTTGCTTAGTGAAAGATGCAGAAAACATGCTAATATTTAGAAAAGGCGAAGTAAAATTATATTTGAAAATTTATATTTGATATGATATTATCTAAGGTTCATCTACATGTATTGATGTAACTGATTTTTCAAATTTAAATTCAAGGTTTTCAAAAACCACTTAAAACATTCAAGTCTGTATTATTTACAAGCGGTTGTTAATAAATCTGTGGAGCCTTAGGCCTAACTCCACCACCGCCAGGACTGAGATGTAATTGAAAATAATTTGCTGATTAAAGCTAGTGATCGATTGTCTACGAGATACTGAGACATTTCAGTTTCATGCATCTTTGGAGGATTTCGCACTCAAAATTTCCTTAGCTTTATTACCACTTACGACAGGGCCCGGCATGGCCAGGTGGTTAGGGTGCTCGACTCGCAATCTGTGGGTCGCGGGTTCGAATCCCCGTCACACCAAACAATATCGCCCTTTCAGCCGTGG